TACATACAAAATAAAAAGTGTAATTACAATTTTATTATATTTATTATTACTAAATTAAAAACAGTACACAAAACAAGAAATCTAGTCTTATTTTGATAAGCAGAGCTAATTATGCTTTAAACAGAGATTTACGAAGACTGAAACTTTTCTTTAAAATAACATCCACAGGCATAATGTAAAAAGTCAATTTTGATTTCACAAGTTCTTAGTTGTAGTTATGTGGGTGCAGATTCTGTGCAGGCCTATCAATCACACCTCCCAGCTAGAGTACAATGATGTTTTCAAACTCACCATTTCAGGATTATAAAAGAGTGGAGAATATGAGCAGGAAAAAGGATACCAAGTATCGGTTTCTCCACATTTGCTCCAGTCTGATCCAGAAGACAAATCCTCTAATGGCCTCCATTTATACAGCACAATCTTCCCATTTTCTAGACCTACAGCCAGCAAAAAACTACACAAATGCAAGTATAATTCAATATTTGTCCCAGACACATCGCACTAATTCTAATGATGGTGTTACATAAAGACCACAGGTGAATAACGTTACCTCTGGTCTGAACAGAGATATTGGCAGATTGACACAGCAGTAGCTGAATCTCCGACATCCAGAACAGAGGAGCAGGGGGTCACGCTTTCACCTTCACATTCACCGACACTGACTCCAGAAACATGATGACCCCAGATGATTACCTACAAATAACACAACAAGGTCAGATGTCAAAGCTTAGACCGCAGGAAAGACTTGACTTAAAAAAAATGCTGCATGCAGTCCTTTTTCCCTCATTAAAAATGTTTTACACACGGAGTAATCAGTATCAGTAGCCTGATAGCAGCAGTTTTATTTTGCATGAAGCAGTTGTCATTATGGGGGTGGATACATTGAAATTCCATGACCAGCTAAATACCTCTCCCTTTATTTTTGCGTTGTCCCAGTTATTGGAAATGTTAGCTTTCTACAAAGGTATCGATAACTGAAAACTTTCATGTGTTGCTCCGTTCACACCATTACATGGCCATACAAGTTCAAATGACTGCCATGCCACCAGTCCAACAACATTTGCTAAATGCATATTAAACTGGACCTACCTTCTTTTCTCGACTTGACGTCACAAAGTACTCGCTGTCAGAGCTCCAGTCACATGACCAAATAATGCGTGTGTGAACCGCTGTGTCCTTACTAGTGTTTGCGTAGAGAGAAAAGCTTGCCTCTGGAAGAAACAAAACAAAAAAAAGGTAAAATCTAAAAATACAAGACATAATATTCACAACTGTATTTAGCTTCATTTATTACTAAATTCCATTTTAGTCCATTGGGATATTTTGCTCAAATAAAAGTAATACA